GGGAGGGGAGGAGGGCGGGGGAGGGGCGGCCATGAGGGGACCCTGGAGAGGGGCGGCCACGGGGAGAGGGGCGGCCACGGGGAGAGGGGCGGCCGCGGGGAGAGGGGCGGCCACGGGGAGAGGCGCCATGAGGGGACCCGGAGGGGAGAGGGCCACGGGGAGCTCGTCAGCCCTCTCAGCCCGTCCCAGCGCCGTCACTCCCGGTGCGTCCCGGGAAGCTGCTGCGGGGCTGCCCGTCCTCCCTCCTCAGCCCGGAGAGGCAGATTTGGGCCGCAGAGTAGCACGGGCCCGGCTCCAAAAAGGACTGACTGGTGCAGCATTCCCTGCCCTTCGGAGCTCCCCGCAATCCGATGCCCTCGGAGCAACGAGGCCGCTGGAAGGCTGCCCGATGGTGCTCAGCGCCGCGCGGGCAGCCCAAAGAGCCAGGAGCAGGGCCGGGCACCGAAACACGCGGGGACAGCTCAGCAGCAACCGCTTTTCCCTGCGTCCCGTTCCCAGGAATCCTGGTGAGCGGGGCAGCGTCGCGCTCGGCGGCCGCAGCCGCGAGGAAGCGCGGCCAGCAGTGCCGCCCGGCCCCCTTCCTTCCCAAGGACGCGCTCCCGAGCCGCAGGAAACCCTCTGTGGACATCCAGGGAAGCGGAGCTTCCTGTTTGGAGCGCCAGGGAGGGGGCAGTGCTGCCCATTCCAGGCCGCCTGGGCCCTCAGGAGGGCACGGAGGARGCGGCTCCAGCGGCAGGGAGCCGGGCAGGCCTCCTGCTTCCCCAGCACSAGCTGCTTCATCTGTCAGACTCGCGCCAACCCCGGCTCTGCCCGCATGGCCCCGCGTGCCCCGGATCCCCAGGGTTCCCGCTGGGAATGCCAACACGCAGAGGCTGGAAACGGCGCCAGTTCCTGCCGCACGCCAGGCCAGCAGGGGAGCCCGCGGGGAAGGGCTCACAGGGCACGGAGAATTCCCGACCTCGGGACATGCGGCAGCCACTTCCAAACTCCAGCTGCTGGACAAGCAGCCGCATTACACAGAGCCCAGGGTCAGCAACAGGAGCAGCAGCCGCTCGAGAGCCTCGAGGCCCCGGACACACGGAAAAGCTCCTGTTCCCTCCACAGCGCAGCCTGGCCAGGGGCTGATGGCATGAAAACAAATCAGAGCCAAGCACCAAGAGGGCCCGCTGGCCTTTGGGGGATGACCCACAGATTTGAGAGGACAGCAGGTCAGACGTATAGATATTTATTGGTTTCAGTGAATTATACAAATGGATTGACCTGCTATCGATGCCAATAGAACTTTATTGGAATATGGAATGTAAACAGATGTTTCAAATAGAAACATTGTAACCTTATAAAAAAATTAACTATTTCGACAATGCCGCAGAAGGAAATTCTGTGTTTAGGTGCTGGTGGGAAAACACTATCTCCAGCTTCTAGGTTTGAGTTATCACCAAAACCACTTGATGAAGTTACACACAGAACAAGTAGAGGAGGCAACTGTGAATTGTGGGGCTACGAAGCCATCAAGGGATCTGATGAGAGAACCCACGAGACGAAACCCCCACCCCCCGCAACAGGATCGGCACCCCAGAAGTCAACAAATGGCTGATTTTGTTAAAACACTACGTGGATCCAAAGTCCTGGATCAGTAGCTGCACAGCCCCCTTCCCCGACAGCTCTGCTCCCCCCGCGCCGCCGTTTCCTCATCCTTCCCGCCGCTCTCCCGCCAGGCTTCGCGCCGCTCCTCCGCCCCGCGTCCCTTCCGACGGTGCCGGATGGCCCCGCGCAAGGGCCGCGCTCCGGCACGACAAGGTCTCGCCCCGGCGACGCTCCGAGCTCCGCGGGAAGGTGCGGGGAGCCCCTCGGCCCGCCCGAGCAGCCCTTCGCATTCACAAGTTTCCAAAGCAGGTCCTCGAGTTGCTCCTCGGCTGGCGCCTTCGCCACACGCGCCCGGYGAGGCTCTCGCCTCTTCCCCGGCCACTCGGCCAGCGGCACTATTTTATTTAATGCTCAAAASCGCTCCGGCGTCGCTGCTGGGTGTGTGGCTCGCTGTCCTCAAATTTCCCCATCCCGCCCTCCCCAACCCGCTGCTCTGGCATCTGCAATTGAAACTGGAATTCAAGGGTCAAATTCAAGCGCAGAGTGAGCAGGACTCGGACCTCAAGAGAACGGTGCCTKCTGCTCACCCCCGGCCTGAATTTGGTTCAGTGAGAGGGTAAGTGGGAAAGGCAAGTTTAGAAAGAGGCAAACTAAGGGCTGACGGTGGAACGGCAAATCTGTCCCCACCAGGATGGTGAGGAAGGCTGGACTGAGAAGGAAGAGTAGGATCCATAGAGATGTGAACCAGAATCAGTTGTGTTGAGCCCTAGGGACATCGCTATACGCTTAGCTCTTGGAAAACCATTTGCCCAGGGCTTTGGTACCACAGGGTTAGAGTTACATTAACCACAACCACCAGAGAGGAACTGAGGTTTACGACCCCCCCCACAAGGTTAGATTTCGGCTGAGTATAAAGGGGAGGGGAAAGGGTGGGGATGGGGGGGGGGGCCTTGGTTCATTTCCCTTCACTGTGTGACCGAAGGTTTTGTTTTTATTTGTAAACATCTTGAATTACCCGTCGTGTTCCAGTCTTCATCGTGCTGTCGTCAGGCCACTGGAGAGTACAGCATTTTCTGAGCTGGGCTGGGACTGCTCCTTCACCACTGGATCTGCAGGACCCAACAGCCCAGGCAGGAAGGGGAAGCAGCACTTAATAATCGGAAGCTCCACCCTGGCTAACGCGGCGTCCAGAGGAACTGCCCTCAAACCCTTCAGAGCGGCCAAGGCTCCCTGGAGATGGGGGAGCCGCCGCTTCCCCGATGCCGCCCGACGTCCCTCCCCGCGGCCAGCCGGCCCCGCACTCACAGAAATAGGGGTGCTCCATGGCCTCCTTGGCAGTCAGCCTCTGTTGATGGTCATACCGCAGGAGCTTATCCAGCAGGTCGAGGACTTCGGGGCTCACCAGATGCCTGTTCTCGCTGTGGATGAAGTTCTCCCAGCGCTTCCGGGAATGCCTGCAAAGGGACCTGCCGTCGCTGCCCGGCCGACGGGCACAGCGGCACCGAGGGGCGCCTGCTGCGCTTTGCGGGGGGAAGAGCCGCTTGCGAGGGCCTCGAGAGCCTCTGCTGCTCTCCTCGCACAAGCTACTGCTCAGCAGGCGTTTGCCAAAGGGGAAATCCTCTCCCTTAGGCACGCAGTTACATGGGAAATGGCAGGCTGGGAAGGTGCAAKAGTGCTCGTTCCCTTCCATCCACAGGGAGGGACACCAGCACCCAGCAGGCACGGGGACACCGTGGCACCGTGGGGGCTCTGCCTTGACCGTCAGCCTGCTTCCCCAAAGCTGCATCCACTTTCCCATCCAATTCCAGTCCTTTTGGATATCCAAACTAGGAGATTTTGAGCCTTTAAAGCAGTACAGTGGGTTTTAGTCAAACATCTCCCGGAAAGGTGATGCACAACTGAGTGCTCCGCCAATCTGGGATCTTAGCACGTGTCACTCCTTTCCCCCTCCACTATTTTTCTTATCTACAGGGGAAAGAAAAGCTGTGGGGAAAACAGGAGAGTTGGTCCTAGAGAGCTGTCCACACCAAAGCAAATCTCTGTCTGGGACAGAAGAAAACCAGAAGCAAAGCCCTTCTGAAGAAGGCAACCACAYGAAGCTCTTCCCCCCTCAGCACGCACAGCGCTCCAGTGTTTACATCTTCACTCTAGGATGCCAACAAGCCCRAGAAGAAAGAGGCAGGGCACGGCTTGAAGACCATGGGAGAGGTGAGGGGAAGAGGCTACAGTGACCCAGAAGGTCAAAGAGAATTTCAGGGGATGGACATTCAACTCATCTCTTTGTGTTACAAGGGACGGAGGCCGCGTTTCCCTTCCCCACTTACTGGCCCAGGATATCATTGAAGTGTGGGTCCAGTTCTATGTGGTACTTCTTGAGATACCCATACAGCTCATCCGTGCCCAGGACCTTTGCGATGCGAACCAGCTGCAACAAAGAGCATGTTGAGAGAGAGCAGAAGGGCAGGCAGAGAGAGCAGGTCCTGCTAGGGTGGCTGCTACTGAACTCGTGGCTCCTTTCTGGTCTGATGCCAACAGACAGGACTGTCTCACAGAGGCAGAGCCACCCAAATCCAAGACCTCTCAGTCTGGMAACTTCTCAGATTAAAGGTAAAAATCTCTCTTGAAACTTGTTTTGGCAACACAGGCATAAAACAATTTCCTCCTTAAGGCAGTGATGTGTAAGYCCAGATGGCTCAAGGAAGCCAGTGTCCTCCCAGCCTGGTCACCACATTCCAGGACCTCCCCGTCCAACACACACAAGATGGCAATAAGTCCCTCACGAGATGAGCTCAGTAGCAACGTCCTTACCTGGTCATAATTGTCCTGGCCATGGAAGAAGGGCTCCTTTCGGAAGATCATGCTAGCCAGCATACAGCCTAAACTCCACATGTCTAAGCTGTAGTCATACATCTGAGCGGGGAAAGGAGAGGCCGTCAGGCAAGGCGTGCTCACCACAGGCTGCAACCTCAGCCTTTCAACATCCCAAGCCAGGTCACTCCCCAACAGGCAAACCCAGAGGTGGCCAGTGGGCAAGCCCACGCACTGGCGAGGAGCAGGCTCTTACTTGGTAGTCCACGAGGAGCTCCGGCCCTTTGAAGTACCTAGAGGCCACGCGGACATTGTATTCCTGAGCGGGATGGTAGAACTCTGCCAGGCCCCAGTCTATGAGCCGCAGCTGAACATGTCAGAGAGAGACACAGAGTCAGAGGCTACGGGTTTCGCTGCCTTGGGGCCAACAAGTTGGATGAGGCCGCGTCCACCAAAGCCCCTCAGTGCCATGGCACACACAGGAGACCTGGCTGCAGGGAGGCRCTCCGAGGGCAGGAGATGCTCTCGGCAGTTCTCCGGTCATGCTGGCCCCTTCCCCCTGTCCCCAYGTGGTGCTGCTGGGTTTACCCTGTACTGGAGAGTTTCTCTGTCTCCCAAGTCAACTCAGATCATTATTACTGGGTAAGTTGCTCCCTATCAATGTCACTGGCCAAAGAAGRCAGGTTACTGCATGGGGAACCAGCGAGAGACAGCTGGCATCCCAGGCCACGCAGAGGGAACGGGTCCACAGGCAGTGCGGGCATTAACTGGGAGCTGGGGGTAGGAAACGAGGCCAGAGCAACACCCCACAAGGGAGACTGGCTTCTCTGTCAGGGATGGTGACAGCGTCAGCCCCTGCTCTAGGACAACTGCTCTAGCGAGAGATCCTCCCTGGCACGAGCCCCGTCCTGCCCGCGCAGCCCCTGCCGAGGGGCACAGGGCACCTGGGGAGCAGAGCTCACCTGCTGCTGCCCTCCCCGGCACCACGGGCTGCACCGCACGGCGCCGGGTACCGACACTGCCACTGCTCTGACCAGGGAAAACCACCCACAGCCGGACAAGGCCTGAACAACCGAGCAGCCGGGAAGCCTCCCCCTTCCCACTGCAGCTCCACTGGCTCCTTCCAGGCTGACACAACTGCTGCTCCCTCAGCACAGAGGAAGAACTGCGGAGAGCAGCGACCTCCAAGGCACAACCTCCATGCAGGGCCCTGATCAGAGTCCCCCCCGCCCCACAGCGGGACTCTGCCCATCTTCATGATAGGGGCCCAAGTGGGGGGAACAGGTAAAGAAACGATGAAAAAAACAAACATAGCAGCCCAGTGTGGCATGGAGGTGGAGGAGTTTCGAGTCTCCTTGGGCAGGAGGGGGCGGGGAGGGGACCCTCCTGCGGGCGCCAGTGCCACGGTACCTTTTTCTGTTGGTGGTCTATCATGACGTTGTGGGGCTTGACGTCCCTGTGCATGATGCCCATGCTGTGGCAGTAATCCAGGGCCTGGCAGACACACGCGTGTTAGACACGGTTGTAACCACCTGCACAGCACCCACAGCACCGCACAGCACCCACAGCACCAGCAACACTTCTCAGTCGGCAGCAAGAACTCCCCAGAGAGGCGGCACACTTGTGGCCGGGCCTGGGGCTCCTCAGCTCCCACCAGAAAGGCTCCACTCCTTCAGGGGCCAGTTCTTGAGGGCCTCCCAGCACAGCCCAGGGCTCCCGAGCTCGTGTCCGAGAGCTCGCGCGGGCGCCGGAGGCAGCACGGCCAGCGCCCGCAGCGCTCTCACCATCTCCATTGCTGCAGAGACGCTGAGCGGGCCACACTCACGGCTTCCAAAGATACAACAGCRCTTCCCTAAGCAGGGCTACTCGCTTCCAGAGGGAAGGGACCCACAAGGAGGCCAGTGCTGCCGGAGCCCTGCTGGGAACGAGGCTATGGCTCCRGCAGGGCAGCACGGAGCAGCCCCGGTGCAGCAGAAACCTGCACAGGGCCTAAGGGCCCGGGGCCTCCTGCAGCCCAAGACCCCAGGGAGGCCCTGGGGGACCTCCAAGACCTGCCAAATGGTTCCCTGGGAATTTCTGTAGGAAGGGGCAGGCTAGGCCAGCAAGGAGGGCACTGGGGCCACTCGTCCTTCTGCAGAGGGGTCGGCTTCAGCTGGTGGGTCTCCAAGGGGAGTAGCAGAGCTGCATGAAATGCAGGACCAAGATCTTTGTTGGCAACACGGACCCGCCGGGGTGCCCGGCCGCAGGCTGCCGAGCAGCCAGCCCGTCCCTGACGGGACCCTGCCTGCCCCTGCGCACGCACAGGGCTCACAGCAAGCGAGGGGAGGCATCCACCCTCACTAGACAGCGGGAGAAGGGAGCCCGGAGCTGCTGCTCCCTCCCTTGTGGCTCAGCGCTGCCAGGAGTCCCCAGTTCCCRGGAATGGCTTTGCTCAACCCTCCAAGCACCTCCAGGGCTCTGTCCCACAAAGCCCTACCCAGCCACACGCAGTTACGTTTCCCTGGGGAGGAGGAGATCCAAGAGCATGAGAGATCCCTCAGTGAGGAGGGACAGTCCCCAAGTCAAGGTAATGCCTCATGGTAATGTGCGAGGCAGTCGGAGCTCCTCCCAGGCCTTCCCTGCTCACAGGAAAGTAACTGCCTGCCAGGTCCTTCCAGCACCGCCCCAGAAACTGCTCCTGCCTCTCTGGACAGAGCACCCTCTGTGACACCACTCACCTTCAGCAGCTCGTACATATAAAATCGAATATCAAAGTCTGTCAGGATCTGGTACAGTTGCTGAAATAGATTTGGGAAGGGAAAAAGAAAGAGAGAAACAAGATTAATACTCCAGATTTGCATCAGTTTTGTTTCCTGCATGCCACGAGCCTTGAGTCACCAACCCCACTGCAGCTCTCCTGTGAAAGGTGCCACTGCCGAGGGCTGGAAGTCACAGGGAGCACCAGGCGCTCGCCACGGAAATCCAGACAAGGGACGAGGGAGCGCAGCCCCGCACTGCGCTGAACCGCGTGTCGCCGCCTCAAGCTGCCACCCGCCTCTCCGCCCCGTCCTCTGYGGGTGCTCATCCACCATCCAAGGTGCGCTTCACGCCACGCTGCGTTAGCAGCGGTCACTAGAGACATGTTCAACCTGCCCCTCTCAGGCCGGGTCACAAGTGGCGCCAGGCTGCTGTGGGCCACCCCAGCGGGACTGCTGCTCTGCTCCAAGGAAAGCAAGGTGAGAAGACARGACAACACGAGGCCGAAGGGGCCAGGCCATGAAGGACGGCCATGGGRGACCCACGGGACCAGACTCCTTTCTCCTTTCCAATCAGAGTCTCCTCCARGCCCTAGGCAAGATCCTTGGAAGAGCCGAGAGGATCCTTAGCCAGCTCCACTTTGGGCCAGATCCATGTTTAGGGAACCCTTCCCACTGCTGCTCCGGGCAGGCATCTGGCACCAAACGYGTGTCATTGACACGCATTGCTCAGAGGGTCCCCAGGTCACAGGCTGCGCCCCAGGCTCAGSAGCCACAATCTTCTCCACGCTTGTAAGCAAGGCAGCGAAGCAGACAAGGCGCAGGGTGCAAAGGGGACACGGCCACGAGCTGCAACAGGGACAGAGCTGCTGCTCTGCTCACAGGGGCTGCGCCACGCACGGGCCAGGGCCAAGCCCTGCAGCAGTGGCCGGCTGAGCCCCGTTTCCCTGAGCCCTGGCCCCTCTGCCCATAGGGAGGGACGGGACAAGGGCCCTGATCCTCTTCTCAGGCCCAGGGCGCAGCCGACTCGGCACCCCCGACGCCCGGCTGCACCGCGGCCGGCACCGCGAGGCTCCGCGTGCTGCCCGGAGCAGTCCTGCCACGAAGCCTCTCGTCTCTTCGCAGAATGGTTAAGGTTGGAAGGGACATCCAGAGATCACCTAGTCCAACCTTCCTGCTCCAGCAGGGACACCCAGATCATGTGGCACAGAGTGGCATCCAGGCAGATTTGAAGACCTCCAGAGAAGGAGCCTCCCTAGGCAGCCTGTTCCAGGGTTCTGTCACCTTCACAGCAAAGAAGTTCTTCCGAACTYCTCTTCCCTGCTCGCTGCCCCACGCAGCCACACGGATGTTTTCGCTGAGCAAACCGGCTCAGCTTTTCCCTGGAAGAGCTTCACTGGAGGCCCCCGGACCCCTCAGCCCAAGCTAGCAGGCGAGGGCCCTCCCGCTTTGCGGACACCTCCCACACTCGGCTCCTTGAGCCCGGCTCTGTGGACAAGAGCTACCAGAGACGTTGGCGTGGGGCTTGCCGTCGTCGCACAGCCGCCTCCAGGGCCTGCTCCGCCAACGGGCAACGCTCCGGCTGCCCGAGATCGCRCATCGGTCACACAGTGCTGGGGTGCCGAGCGCTGGGGTGCCTTTGGGGAGCAAAGCAGCAGAAACTGCCCCAGGCAGCCACGCAAGGAGGAGAAGCTCCTGAGAAGCTCCTTCACCACTGCTCTGCCTTCCACGGSGGAAGGCAACAACTCTCTTACTTGAGCTCACCCGACATGTGCCAAGATAAAACCCACTCAGGAGCTTCTTCGCAGCGCCTGGGCCTGAAAATTTGCCGTGGGACACGAGCAGTGAACGATTTCGCTCCCCAACCCTCCTCCTGGGCAGCGGCACCAGGAGGGCGCCGCAGCGGCCGCTCGCCCCGTGCCCGGCCGCGCCGGCCACCCGCAGACCCACGGCGGCTGCTTGGGCCCCTCTCCCGGCCCAGGGCTTTGGTCTCTCCAAGTCACGAGGCGCCTGCACAGAGGTCAGCGCCCTGGGCATTGAGCAGAGCAGGGACAGCTCGGGGTATGTGGGGGACAGGGCCCCATTYCTCCTTTGAAAGCAGTTGGAATTAAGGTATTTCCCTTTCCTAACGGTTACTGGCAATACAATTTAAGGCAGATGACTGTGTGTAACCCAGATACTCACAGATGACCAATTCTGCAACCGATCTGAGGAGAAATATGGGCCACATCCACAGGCTGCCTTCCTCCCATAGCACAACATACATTTACTCAACGTTCTGGCTCATCATTCCCACAGACAGAGACCCATCAGTCTCAGAAGGGATCCAGCCATGTAACTGAAGACAACATAAGCAATTCTTCCACGTCAGGCTGCTTATCCCATCATTTAAAAGTAGTCAAACTTAGTGGAATATGAGTTTGCACTGACGATGAGGGGGCACCTGTAGCCACAGTCTTGGTAGGACCCAAAAAACAGCAGCTTCCATCCAYGTGGAAGGATCCGGGCTGCTGTTCTCACGAGCATGCAGACATCAACAGCAACAACTGCCCCTTGAAGAGGGGAAGGGGACATCATGAAGCAAAAAGGTTGCTTTTGATCAAGAAAAGCAGCCCTGCCAGGAAGGAGACAAGCAATCAGGAGATAATTCCTGCCAAGGTTGTGTATCACAAACAGAAGAGAGGAAAAAATGCCGTCCTCCAAAGCTGTTGGCAGTCACCTGTTGTGCCAGGCTCACACAGGCTGCCTTGGGAACCACTTTGGGAACCCTTCCAACCCCCTGAAGATGATTCAAAGGAGACATAGGGTTCTCAGCAGCACTGCAGACAGTCTCGGAGCCAGCACAGAGGCGGGTGGATCGAGAGCTACCGCCTCGACACAAAGAGAAGAGGTCTCTGTCGCACCAGGATTAGCTCATGGGATATTTAATCCCAGGCCAACTTGACCGCTTAAGATGGGAAGATCAGGACTGCCAAGCAGAAAGGAAAAAGGAGGACAGGAGGGACAATAACAGAGACTGTGGCACCGGGTGCTCTCCAGCTTGCTTCATGCATAGAGGGCTGCCCCACGTGAAGGCCTTGAACACAACTTGTCTCATGCATTTTGGAGTGATGCCAAGTGGAAAATGCACAAAGTGAAGAAACAGTGCAGAGGCCTCAGCATCAAGGATGCCCCATGTGCTTGCAGCAGCTCAAGCCACCGGTTCACTGTGGCCCCAATCCTCCCCAGCCCGACGGTGGGCAGCAGGCAAGCTCAGATAACCCACATGGTCCATACAGAGCTAGCGAAGTTCGGGCGAGGGAATTACAAACTCCGAACGCGCCCCGGGCGACATGATGACATTCCCAGGACAAGCTCTTCCTGCCTTGAACCAATCAGTGTCAGCAAAAAAGCATCAGCTCTCTCAGCCTTGGACACCCATGGCCATGATTCTGGTGGTTCCTCAAGAGCCAGGTGTTCTCCGAGGAGCTCCTAGGACACAGCAGCGCTGCTCCCACACGTGCCAGGACCCAGCACTCCTCCACAGCTGCTGGCCACCAGCCTCGAGCACTGCCCAGGGCTCACACACACCCCTTGGCTCCCGCCTGCCACCTTGGAGGATGCTTCCTCCTCCCCAAGGACCTTGCACCACACGTCTTTGGGCACAACACGACCGTGCCACCAAGCAACGCTCAGCACGGCCCCAGGACCCCTCTTTGTTTCAAGGCATATTAAAAAAAGAATAATTCTAAAGTAGGAACTTAAGAGTTTCCCACATCAGCCTCACCAGGACAAGCACGGGCACCCAAAGCACAGGAATAACCCAGACAAAACAAGCCTGCTTTAAAGAGCCCCCAGAGGGCACCACACAGGACTCCCGCTTGCGTGCCAGGGTAATGCTGGTTCCCCCCACCCAGCACTGCCAGGGCAGACACGGTGCCAGTCCCGATGCTTGTGGCCTCTGCAGGGCACTCAGCAGCACTAAAACCAGCCCGGCGCGGCACAGCGACTCCGAACGCCCGGGGCCCAGCGCGCAAACACCCTCCTTCCCACCACCACCAGCAGCGCCGGGGCCTTCTGGGGGCGTTCAGGAMATGTGCTGACCGACTGCATGTTGGTCTGCAGTGAAAAGGAACACACGAAAGGCACCATCCTACAAGGAAAGGATCTCCRAGCAGCGTGCGATGCTCGCTGGCTTACTGAGGACAACAGCTCAACYAATTCACCACCAGCGACCTAATGACTTAGGGTAAAAAGTCACATGGGGAAAGCAAAGATGTCATTGAAACGTGTGGTTTCATAGCCCTTTTGCACATCAAGGTGCTTCTGACAGCCAGAAGTGTTTCAGAGCAGAGCACCCGGTCACTGCTGCAGTCAGCCAAAAGGATCCACCTTGGAATCAAGGAATTTCACCAGSAGCTCTGCAGAACTGGCAGGGACAGTGGATATACTGCAGTCAGGGGTGGGAGAAGGGCTTTTAAGCTTCATTTAGGCCTGGCCTCATCGGCCACAGAGCAGAGGTACCATCGCTACCACGTGCGCTGCTGGGAGGAGGGACACGTGGCTGGGATTRCCTTGCACAAAAACACAGCACAAGAGCAACTAAATCGAGAAGGGAGGAAGCAGATCGGATCACCCCTCCTGGACTCACCTCTTCGAAACCAGGAGGAGATGCAGCGATTTAGTAACTCCCCAAGTTCCTCATTTAAGCCAGGGAAGGAAGGCAAACCTGCCACAGGGGACAAGTGCCAAATCCCCTCTCAGCCCCTCAAGGCATATCCAATAACCAGAGGCACAGAAACAGGAAGCCTCCCCCCCAACAACCAGCCAGACTCACCTTAAAATCTGTATTATTGATGTACTCAAAAACCAGAGCAGGGGTCTTTGACTGCAAGACAAAGACAGAGARAAGGCCACGGTTTAAAACACCCTCTTGACCTTTATTTGCTTCAAGAGCCTCGCGCAAGCTCGAGCTTCCTGCCCAGCCCTCCCCGCAGAGAGCAGGGCAGGAGCAGGAATGCGAGAGAAACACAAGCCGGCGGCCCCGACGGGCTGGCCCAGCGCACGCGGCCAGCCCTGCTCCCAGCCCCGCGGAGCAGGGACGGCACTGCCCGAGCGGGAAGGGGTCCTTGGGGGCCGAGAGGTGTCCTTGGCGGGCAGTGGGGCCGCCACGACCGCGGCGCTGCCTCTCCATGGCCAGTGGAGCCGGGGACCGCCCAGGAGACACCTCTGTGCTGGGGAGCAGCGGGAGGGCGGCCAGCTSTGCTCGCTTGGCAAGCACGGAGAACTGGGACACTTGTCCCTCCTCAGCAAGGGGTGACTTGCAAGGAGGGGAGCAGTGGCTCCTCCCAACCAGCCCGGCTCAGGAGGCCCTAGGGAGCTGCATGTGCTCGGCCCTGGTTGGTGCAAGGGTCCGGGTGGCCCCAGGCTCAAGTGACTGGGCCCAAGGCAGGCCCAGTGCCACCCCTGCAGCCACCACACGCACTGAGACACACAGGCACCTACCACCGGATCCTTGACAGTGTCAATCAGATTAATGATGTTGGTGCCACCACGCAGGTTCTCCAGAATCTTCACCTCGCGTTTTATCTTCTTTTTCTTCACTGGCTTAAATACACAAAAGCAATTAGAAGTGAGAGTCCTTTCCAAGCCGGGCAGTCAGCGCCGCCGCCCCCCAGCTCCCCTCCACACTCGAGGACACATCTAGCGCCAAGGAGCAGCCGCGCAGGGCCTGGCACCCACGAGACCAACCCCCCGAGCCAACGAGGGGCTCTTCAAAGCAGGATTTCTCCTCAGGGGAGGCTCTGCATCCAGCAGGGAATGCCTCAACACTCCAGGCACACGCAGCTGTGACTCCGAGGAGCCCCGGTTCAAAGTGCCTTGGACGGCTCTGGGGAAATCTCAGCACACGCTAATTGCATGTGATGTGTTTAGAGCCACACGACAAACACGGTAGATCTCATTCCCGGCTGTTGTTTAATCACATAACACTGTTTTTTTGCTCCTTTCTGCTGCTCACTTCCTCCAAAGAGCCCTTTAATGCAATACAATGAAGACTGGGGAACATCCAGCACCAACATTTCTAGCAAGCTCCCGGACTGCAGCATCCCCCCACGTGCACGACACTTGCAACCACGACACGAGCGGCGCGTCACCTCTGCGCCGCACGGAGTTTAGGTGCAAGGACACTGTAAGCAGTTGGACACCTCGTCAAGCGTGGGCAGTCCCATAAAGCGCCCTCCAAAGCAGGCTATGCCCCGCACGCAGCCCTGCGGCTGCTCCTCGCTACAGGATGGGCCTTTGGGGAACTCGGCCGCTTCCTGCCAGGCCTGCTCGAGGGAAGGGGCCAGCAGAGCGGCTGGGAAAGAAAAGGCAGGGCGTCTGTSTGCTGTGGGGTCGAGGTTTTCGGGCTGCCTCTCGATCAACACAGACACGGCCACCGCGGAGCCCTGCAGGCTCCATGGGTCTGGTCCCGCTACGGAGCTGGGACAGCCCCTCCTGCCCCGGCAGGACCGTCCCRAGGAGCCCAGAGCTGCCTCGGAGCCGCTAAAGCCCCTGCCCTGTCTCCGAGCTTCCTCACGGGAACACTCATTTCCAGGAGTTCCGCTTTCCGCGCCGTTCCCCTCGCAGCCTGGGGCGTCTCGCCCGTTCGGAGAGGAGGCCGAGGGGCTGCGGGCCCTGCGCGGAGCCGTCCCAGGCTGCGGGGCAGCAGCTGCTCCCCGCGAGCCCCCGGCGCTGCACGAGGAGCCACCGGAGCCTCCGCAGCGCTGGGTGCACATCCACCTGCTGCGGCAAGGCGGGCGGAGCGCGGACACAGCAGTCCCTGGGTTGGAAATTCCTCAAAGCAGCGCGTGCAGAGAAGGAGCAGAAGTTTGAGATATACTGGAAAAACCTGGTATTTATAGRCGTGATAAAATACGCTGCCTCCCCAGGCTCTTTGGGTGACTGCAGCCTTCAGATTCACAATCTGCCTTCTCCTCCAGGCTAAAAGGCAGGAACCAAAAAGAGGAGAACCTCAGGCCGAAGCAAGAGCCAGAAACAGGAGYAGGGCGAGCGCAGGCAGCGCGAGCACCCAGCAGAGCCCCCGCAGCCCGGGGTGGTGACAGGGCCATGCGGACACGCACGCGGAGCTGGCGGGAAAGGTTGGATTGCCCGGGAGAGCGGTGCTCAGCTCCCGCTCAGAAGGAACTTCTCCTGCTTATCTCCAGGCCGGCAGCACCGGCGCAGCAGAGGGGACATCCCGTTCTCCCGCCYCACCATCACTTCCCCGTGTTCCTACCCAGTTTTGAAGCGGGGTAGAGGTGTCCAGCTGCCCCTCTGCCTATACCCCCGGAACAACACATACACTCTGCTCAGCAGCCACGGGCAAGGGAAGCAGCAAGTCCAAGGATAAAGGGCAGGAGGAAGGTTAAMACACCTACGACAGACACTGAAGCACGGGGGAACTTCCCCACACGGGGTCTGCAGGGAAACCTCTGGCCTCCTAGGGAGAAGTCTCCACCCCACGGCCTCGGCCAGGCACGGGCCATCCCTCACCCACGCACGACACCGCACAGAGCTCCATATTCCTATTAAAGCTGCCAACACCGCCGCTCGCCACCTTGTTACACATCACCACCCCAAACCGAACACCGGGAGGCACCTCGGAGTCCAAACCCTCGTGCCCCTCCACGCACCCGGCCGACCCGAGGCGGTGCCGCCCTGCCAAGCGGCTCCCTCCGCCTCAATGGTCCCAACCACGGGGATTTCGCTGGGAAACTTCCCTCCCAGCCACACGCTCCGGCCTGCTCGAGCCGCAGACAACCCGTGGCGGATCCTCCGGGCGCCRGGATTAAGGCCGGGCTGCAGCCAGCGTCTCCGCCGGTCACCCGATCCGCCTCTCCAAGGGTGTTGACTCCAAACACACATGGATTAAATGTGAACGGCTGAAGCTATTCCGGCCCCCAACCATCTGCCTCTCCCAGCAGGCAGAGCTCCCAGGACACCAGCCCCGAGCGCCTCCGTATTTTAACTTCCCATTTGGGGGGATTTCTCACCAAACTGTGACGCTGCCAGTGCCGCCCGGCTCCCATCCTGCCACAGGGATCTCCAGCCCCARAGCGGAGCTCGCGGCCACACGAATCCCGCCGCTTCCCCCTCGGATCGGCCGGCATGTGCCCAGCTGCATTTCGGAAGGGGCCAACTCCAGCTGGATCTGGTGGAGCAGCAGGGCCAGCTCTGCGCTTTCTCGCCCGCTTGGYTTCTCCAGCGGGCAGGATGAGTCCTGCTGCTGCCTCTCCTTCCATGCTTCAAGTATGGGGGGTCCCCACGCTTCAAGTATGCACCCATTTTCATGGAATTTGTAGAAATTTCACAGTTCGGAGACTTTGGCCACGTTTGGTTAAAGTAGGCACACAAATTATGAGGGGGGAGCAGGAGAGGAGGCCGGCAGGCAGYGGGATTGCACAAGGCCGGTTTCCATAGGAAACCAGGCTAAAAGACGCGGCTCGGTTTAACTGTCTGCACGGGGAGGGGTTTAAGTGCTCCAACAGCGGCAGCACCGAGAGCAGCGCGGCCGTCTGGCACCAGCCGCGCTCCCGGCTCCCGGGTAATCGCATCCTTCTCGGCACSACCCGACATGGGCAGCGGGGAAAAACCCGGAGCCGGGGGCTGCCCCCTGCGCTGGACAGGCAAGGTGACCCCAAGTCACAGGGGGATGGACGGTCCCTGCTGGCCCTGGCAGCTCTCGTGCAGCCTGTCACCGCGGGTCTCCCACCCGAGCAGCTCGGGGACCACACGAGGACTCTCCAGTCTACCTCAGAGCCGGCTGGACAGAACAGGCCATGGAAGGGGCCGGAGCGGTTGGTCTCTCTTCAGAGAGCAGGGAGCCATCGCGCGGGGCCCTCCCTGCGGAGGGGAGAAGCGACACGTCGTGAGCAGGGGCTTCGTCCTCATGCAGGCATGGAGAAAACCCTCCCTGCAGGCAGCAGGTCGGATCCTGACGGCTAGGATCAGCCGGGAGCGTTCCTACTGTTTGCTCAGATAACCCTTCGAATACAGAACTGCAACCATCACCCCCCATCTCGAAGGACTAGGTGTCTGCTTCGTTAATTGCCTTATTTTCCTAGGTTTCTAAAGCAAGGGAAATGCTCGTTTCTCTGATTCTTCAGTTCCAGCCTTTCCCAAGAACAAGTAGACACATTGCTGCAATTCAAGCAAAGGCAGAAAAGAACTTCGGTATTCAAAGTCCTCTGGATATTTCCACGCTTACAGAAAAACAAAACCAACCCAAAAAGCGATGGCTGCAGCGACCAGGGAAAGCAGCAAGACCCGAGTTAGATACAAAACCTARAACTCCTTCCCCACGAGCCCAACGCAGTCCGCAGGCAGAGGCGCTCGCTGCACGGCACGGAGCAAACGTGACGCTCTGCAGCGGTCCCGGGGGTGCCGGCTGCRGCCCGGGGGGCTCTGAAGGGGAACCCCAGTCAGGAAAGCGGGGCACAAGGTTTAGCCGGCACAAGATCCAAATTCTGAGCAAGTTAAGGCCATTTGTCCTGCCAAACCAGCTTTAATAAGGCCTAGTCTTCGCTCACCAAGATCTTGCTCTCCCCCGCGGCACTTCCCCGGAATTACCGCGTTCCGGAGCTGCAGGGCACAGCGCACGGAGGCGTCTGCAGTCATCCAAAGGGGACACAAGGGCCAAATCCCGACTCCCACCACAGCCCAGAACTGGGAGCGCTTGGTCAGACGGTGCCCTAGGCCAACACTAACACAGGGGCTACCAGAACTCACCCTAACTCAACCTCTTCCTCCTCTTCCTCGCAGGGGGAGCGATTCTGTAACTCAGCAGCTCCTGGCACGCTGGACACAAGGCTTCGAGTTAGGGGCTGCATCTCCAGAGCCCCCAAACACCCTGGGCCACTTCGGTCGATCCGAACTCCAAATAAGCTGCACCAGCAGCAAACCCAGCCAAGCTCCGTGTGCGCAACAGGTGCCTGAGGCAGGAGAGCGGGGCGCCCAGCGCTCCTGGAAAGCCCTCCCTGGAGCAGGGGAGCGGGGCGCCCAGCGCTCCTGGAAAGCCCTCCCTGGAGCAGGGGAGCGGGGCGCCCAGCGCTCCTGGAAAGCCCTCCCTTGGGGCTGCCGGAGGGGGCCGCGGGCAGGGGGAGCCGGTGCGGCCAGGGCAGCGCGGCCCCGCGCGGAGCGGCACCCAGCGGCTCCGCAGGAAGGTCGGTGACGCGGAGCGAAGCGGYGGCCCCACGGGACCCACATCGCCCGGCCCTACTTCCACGTGCAGTGCCCTCTTCAGCCCCAACTGGGCTGTTTCAAGCCCTCCTTCCCTGTGCCCCCTCAGGGCAGCTCTCTCTGTCGTGGTCCCAAAGCTTTTAGAGACAGCAGAGCAATCTGGTGTCTGTGACTGCCCCAGCCACAGGGCTGCCCTCGGATGGATGGAACCCTGGTCCTGGGGGTGACTCGGAGCACAGCACTTGAGGACCCTGCGGCAGCCCCTGCTCAGGGCAGCGGCTATATGGGGAGGTGAAATAGTCCAGAGGAGGGAGCAGGGGGAAAACCAAACAAGGCAAAAAGCACCTGTGAAACCTAGGACATGGCTGACAGCTCCAGCTAGGGGGCTCGGCGCAGAGGAACCAAAGACACCGAAGGAGAAYGGGGCAATTTTGGCATTGCTGCAGACTCTCCCTTGCTGGTGCCTCTCACGCGCTCCCTGCCCACCTCTGCTCGTGATTCTGCCTCCGCAGATGGCAGCCCTGCAAGGGGGCACCTGGGGTCCCCCCGAGCCACCGCTGCAGCTCAGGGCCGCCACAAAGAGCCACTGCCGAAGCCACAAGTGATGGACAAAGTTTGTCGTGCAGAGCAGCAACCTGCAGTGCCACCAGGAACGCAGCCTTGTCGGAGGACAGGGGCCCCCTTTCTAGATATGGTAGAAGAGAGGCCTGCAGACACGTCAGGGCTAACGGGAGCTGCTAAAGAAGTGGGAAGTTCACCAAAGAGACGGCACAAAGGCTGCAGACCAGACTCAGTGACCCATCAAATGAAAGAAAAAAAATATATATACATATGTATAAAAGCTAATCTCTTCCAGTTAGGCTAAGGAAGATGGAAGCTGCGCTCGAGAGCGCTGCCCTCGACACACGCTGCACAGCTCCCTGGAAAGGAAGGTCTCACACGTGCTCCCAGTGGATCCCACCTGGACTGTGAGCCGGAGGCCGGCGGTGAACAGAGGGCCACGCGCAGGCAGGGAGACACCACGTCCCCGTTCCSACCCAGGCCTGCTGGCGGCTGCAGGAACGGGGCTGCTGGGCAGCTCCGCACCCCGCGCACGGCCGCAAGGGCCCTGCCAGCTCCGCGCCGCTCGTCCCGCTGCATTCGGACTCCSTGCTCATGCCAACAAGCGGCCCCCGGCCTCACTCCCGAGGACAAGAGCTTCGGGCAGCATGGGGAAGGCAGCGCTCCTGCCCTGTCTCCTCGCGCRCTCCGCTTGCCTTCCTGGGAGAAGCGCCGCGAACTGCGGGTTCCCATGTTCCAACATCCATCGGAAATCGGATCCACGAGTGCCCCAGCCTCGTGCAGGGTTATAGGCAAGCGGCTGCTGCGAGGGAAGGAGTGTTACGTTTGTGCAGCGCCAGACTGGGACCTTTGCCCTGATCTTGGCTTGGTTGAGGCCGAGGAACTTGCCCAAAGTGGCACAGGAAACCTCTGTGGCTCAGCCCTGAATCTGAGCCGGCCGATAAGGTGTCCTGCAGGAAGGTGCAAGACGCCCAGGTACCACAGGAGCAGAGAAAGGGAACCAAAACAGGYCAGGGAAAACACTCGCTGTGGGGCTGACCTGAGCTCAGCAAGGACGGCGTCCTTTAGAAAGCAAGGCTGGGGAGAGAGTCTCAGCCACCTAACAAGAGGCGCGGATTTTAAGCCAGCAACTCCTACTAGAGATCGCCCTAACGCATAGCTCAAATTCTGCTTTCAATCCAGCACCCTGAGAAAGGAGGCACTGTGCTCAACGGCGGCACCAGCAACGCTCCCCTCACTGCACCCCGACAACTACAGGAAAAGCAGGGAACTTCTGCTTGCCTCTCCCGCCTCGCGGGCTGCTCCGCGGAGGCTCCGCTGCCGCCGCACGCGGTCGCGCTGCAGGAAGGCGAGGGCGCCCTGCATGGTCCGAGCACGATGCTCTTACCAAGCTCCGTGGCTTTTCCACAGCGCCTGCGGCCCGGCGCTCGGAAACTCGCTCTGCACTGACCCACTTCTCACCGAGAAGAAAGTTGCTTTTTATTTCTCTGCACTTTCTGCCTCCGCGCTCCGCAACGCCAGCCGCGTACGAATGGGGCAGCTGGCGGAGCCGTGAGGCCGGCAGCGGCGCCTGGGCCGCAGGACACGACCAGGCAGCCCCAYGGGAGCTCCTGGCCCTCGCGGCTCGATGCCGCCGCGGGAGGCTCTTTGGGACAGCACGGAGGCCAGGAAGCAGATGAGACTCCGGCTGCCGCCCCGTAACCTAGCGGCACCTTGCCGTGCGGGGCAGAGACAGCGGGGGTCACAGGCCCCTCGTAACGCGCTCCTGCCCCAACCGCCCCCGTCGCCCCCAAGCTCCGCCAGGGCTGCACGAGGCGGCCGGGCAGGCGCTGCAGGTGGCCGTGCTCCCCGGCAGCCCCGGCGMGGACGCGCTCCCACGCTGCGCGTCAGCACGTGCCCCAACGCGGAGCGCGCCCGCGGCGGGAACGGGCTCCCCACGTGCTCCGAGGACGGAGCGAGCGGCGCTGCCCACCCGAGCCGGAGGGCAGCTGGGTCGCAGCCTCGGCGGCTCTGCTCACCGCTGCCGCCCCCAGCTCACCGCGGCGGGGCCCAGGGCTCTGCCCGAGTGCGGGGCCCAGGGCGGGCCGGCGAGGAGGGCCCCGCTCCCGCGTGGCCGCCCCGCGCTCGGCTGCCCAACACCCAGCCTCRCAAGCAGCCCGACGGCTGCAGCAGCCTCCTTCAGCCTCCGCGGCTCCCCGGCCACGCTGCGGGCCCTTCGCGCAGCCTTCAAAAGGCCAAACGTGACGCTCGCTTTGCTTCAACCCTCCACACGAGCCCCGCACGCTGCTCCGCGGGCAGCACCCCAACAGCCCCGCGCCCGGGCGGCGGCACCCAGGGGCTGCGGGACGAGCCCCGAGGGCGGCGGGGAGGGAGGGACGGTCCCGGCGGGACACTCACCTTGAGGATCTTGACGACCACGCGCTCGTTGTTGGTGATGTTGATGGCCTCGAAGACCTCGCTGTACTTGCCGCGGCCCAGCTTGCGCACCAGCTGGTAGTCGTCCTGGTTGCTGCGGGCACCGACAAGAGGGAGAAAGAGGGAGCGGAGGGAGAGGGAAGGGGC